AGTGGACATGTGGGGGGGGTATCCCGTTCATCCGTGGAGAGCAGTGCGGCAGTGGACATGTGAGGGTGTATCCTGTTCATATATTGATTTCTTTTCCTTTAGCTCAAAGTATCAAATAGTAATTCTGTTTTTAACTTCTTGAGACATAGGCATACCTTTTTCCATAATGGCTTTACTAATTTACATTCCCACCAAGTGTGTGTAAGAGTTTGTTTTCTCTGCATCCTGGTCAATACTTTTCTTACTTTTTGTTTTTTAATAATAGCCATCCTGTCTGGAGTAAGATGAGCTCTCATTGTGCTTTTGATTTACATTTCCCTGATGATTAAAGATGTTGATCATTTTTTTCATGTACCTGCTTTTCATTTGTATATCTTCTTTTGAGAAATGTTTATTTGTATCCTTTGCTCACTTTTTAATAGGATTTTTTGCCATTTGAATAGTTTGAGTCTATTGTATGTTGTAGACATTAGTCCCTGTCAGATGGGTAATTTAAAAATGTTTTCTCCCATTCAGCAGATTGTCTGTTCACTCCGTTGACTAGTTTTTTGCTATGCAGCAGCATTTTGATTTAAATAAATCCCATTTATCCATTTTGTTTCTGTTGCCTGTGCTTTTGGGGTCTTAGTCACCTTCCTCACCTAGGCCAATATCCACAAAGTTGGCGAGCCCTTCAGTCAGAAATGACCTAGAAAATGTCTTTGTTGCCATCATAGCTGTTGATATTACAATGATAAAACCTCATTATCCCAGATTCTGTGCAAAAGAACCTGAGGCAGAGCCCCCTCAGGCCAAAGCAGACATGTAACGTGGACCAAAAGTGAAACTCTGTTGTTAACACCCCTGAGATTTAGCCTAGTTTGGCCTCCCTTCTCCTGACCCTAACACCATTTCATGGATGTACCTAGAACAAGGGAAGAGTCCATGGAGGAGGCGCATTAGTCCAGGTAAAAATACTTAAAGGGATTTGTTAGCAAAGGATTTGGCAAGGAAACAAAAAGCTTATTTCATTCTAAAACACCATTCATTGCATGATCTAGCCTTAGTTTAGTAATAGTTTTGGGAGAGAAAAGAAAATCTTTATTAAAAGCATACAAAACTCTGTAAGGAAATGATGATAGCATGCATTTAACCAGAAAAGTATATTTTTTTATTTCATTATTCCTGTGAAAATCTAAATACAACCTTTTTTCACTTTGAGTCTGAAAAGCCTTCTAAACTGCCTCTGTGCTTCAGTATCGATGACATGACCTTTTTTTGAACCGGGGTGCATATATTGATTTTCTCAGTTTAGCACTTTTAGGACATAAAAGAATTTTAAGGACGATCACAGCATACTAAGAATTCATCTGTGTTTTCTGTTTAATTAATCGTGTCATTCTGGCTTACCAAGTTGCTCATCACTAGACTTTACATAGTTCTTTTGGAAACCACCAATTTTTGATGGTAGATAATTAGCACCATCACAATGCATGCATTATTTACATTAATCTCATGTAACTTCAACAATTCTTCAACCTATTCTGAGATATTTTATAATTTCTGCACCTTTTAATTTTGTTGTCTGAGATAGGCAGGAGATTTATCTTTGTGAGTATCAACAACCAATCAAAATACAGTTTTTACTTAATATACGTCTTCCCAGCTTTGGTCCCATAAAGCCCTTATTTCTTCATCTTTTACTATATTTGTATTTTAATTTATTTTTTCACATGGATCAGCTTTTTAAGCATTGGAATTTTCTCCATCCTCTTCTCTGTCCCACACTCTAAACCAGGTGTCCTCAAACCACAGCCCGTGGGCCACATGCAGCCTGCCTAGGACATTTATTTGGCTTTGCCACCTCTGCCTGTCCTGCTTAGCAGCCTACTCGTCCCACAGCCCACTGTCCGGCCCTACAAGGGTCTGAAGGACAGTGAACTGGCCGCCTGTTTAAAAAGTTTGAGGAGCCCTGCGGCTAAATAACACATCACCTTTATTGCATTGATTACTCCCTCTTGAAACTTACCCTGAGAAATTCCTCATTCTCTGTGATCATTGAAATTCAAATTTTAAATACATAGTTTTCCTTGAAAATATTTATAAAAATGTTGGATTTTCTTATAATGTTCTCTAGAAAAAATAACTAAATCGCGTTACTTCTGGATGTGACTTTTCTTTATATTCTGCCTGTTCTCTGTATGTGCCTCTGAGGCATGGCGGCAGGGGTGAAAGCAGATGTTTTTGTCATTGTGGTGGTCTTATTCTTTTCTGGGTTCGGTTAGTATGATTGAAAGTATCCTCTATTCAGAAGCCCTTGATTCTATAATACCTTTTGTATTATAGAACCTCCCTTCCTCATGTGCCCTAGCTATAAATTTTGTTATTATATATATATATATATTTTATATGTAAAGGACAGAAAGATTACAATAAAAGAAAATTATCAGATAATTAATTAATGTGAACTACCATAGTGTGATAAAATATAGCATGGATAATTTAGGTCAATATTTACCTAGATTTTACTTTTCTAATAAATAGACTAAAAAACACTTCAGGAAGGCAAATTATTTCCATCGTAATGTAATTTTTATAATCATTTCTGGATTTGTATTTTGTAATTAAAATAAAAACTATTTTGAAGGAAGGGAGATGATTGTTGATTAATGTACAATAACAAAACAGATTTTTGTAAATGAAAATATCTAATAAGGTGAAGAAAAATAATTATCAGCATAGTGCTTTGGTGAGTTTCTACAAATGTTCAAAAGAACTTTATGATACCTTTTATTTTTTTTTCTTTCTCGGTGGACTCAGATTCTTGAAGAAGAATAATTTTGAGTTCAAGAGATAATCAATTGATTATTCCCCAAAAGACATTGTCTCCATAATTGTTACTATGAACAAGCTTGTTTATTTGACATTTAACAAATTTGTGTTTGTGCCTTGATTTGTGCCAAAAGAAACTGTAATTAAAAAAAAAAAAAGAAAGTATGTAACTGGCAAACAACCATCTCCTCCCCAAATCTTCATAAACAGAAAGGTTTTGTATTATCCCTGAGTTCTTAAAAAAATCTCTGCTGGAGAATTCTAAATAAATATCTTCTATTTAGGCTCGGCGCCTGTGGCTCAAGTGGCTAAGGCTCCAGCCATGTATACCCAAGGTGGCGGGTTCAAATCCAGCCCAGCCCGCCAAACAATAATGATGGCTACAACCAAAAAATAGCCGGGCCGTTGTGGCGGGCACCTGTGGTCCCAGCTACTCGGGAGACTGAGGTAGGAGACTCGCTTGAGCCCAGGAGTTGGAGGTTGCTGTGAGCTGTGATGTTACTGCACTCTACCCAGGGGGACAGCTTGAGGCTCCTGTCTCAAAGAAAAAATTTTCTATTTAATCAGCTTTGCTCTTGAATAGCTTAAAAGAAAGATATAAACTGACCCCAGATGAATGTTTTTAGAAAGCTGATGTGGGCAATTAGAAGATGGTTCACACCACAAACATGCTGTAACCTTTAACCTAAAATTCTTTAATGAGCACCGGTCTATTATGAGTCCCAGGAGGAGTTTAGTTCCTTGATTGCAAGCACCCCTGCT